AGTTGAGTGCCACCATCACCTGGCTAGTGTGTTCTTACACTAGTGTGTAAGCAACTAGGTTTAGGGTGATTATAGGTCTAGGTGCTGATTTCTGGGTTGTCTTTGTTGGGTGTGTGTTTTGTTCCTTAGTTTCTATTTTCCTCTGTATTTTTGGAGAGTGTGATCGCTGTGTGTTGCCCCTTCTCCTGGCCTGCTCAGTGGTTATCTTCACAGGGAAGACCTGCTGGTGTTGAAGGCTGGGATAATGGGATGAGTTGGGGGAAGGAAATTTGTTGGAGGAGGTCCTTAGGGATGGGTCAGAGAGGAAAGGGAGAAGACCACAGTAGGTTTCCTTCCATGGGGCTTAGGAAAGGGAGAAGACCACAGTAGGTTTCCTTCCATGTGGGGCTTAGGATAAAAGTGGGGGGATAGGATCTCAGGAGTACTAGGAGACGTGTGGGTCTGCCTTCAGCCTAGTTATTGCTCTGGGAGGAGATGCCCTTGGGTTAGCAGGGGACACTTTCTGGGTGATGTCTGTTATAAAGCAGCGAGTGGGCAGAGGTGGTTAGAAGGGGGAAGATGATCTCTGGGATCCATGGGATTTGTGAAGGGGCCTGCCAAGCATGTTTTGCTGTAGAGCTGGTTATGAGACTGGGGACTGGAAATGGGGGAAGAGAGAGAGAGAGAGAGAGAGAGAGAGAGAGAGAGGAGAATGTGTATTGCAGTCTACTTGATTTTCTGGCAGGCATGGCTTGTGGTTTAATTTGGGGCTATCTGCTGGGTTTGGGGGCTGTTACCCATTTCTGTTAGGCCTATGTCTTCCCAAGGAATGACTTTTGTTTTCTTAAACAGCCATTTTGACTAGAGTAAGATGAAATTCCAGAGTGGTTTTAATTTGAATTTCTGTATGGCTAACGATGGTGAATAATTTGGAAAATATATCTTAAGCAAGTATATTTCTTCTCCTGAGAACTTATTTTTGTATTGTCAGTCAGTTGTATATACACTTGGTTATGTAGTTAGATGGTCAAGGGAATTTACTGAGAGCATCCACATACTACAGAAGCCTTGGTTCCCAGCATCTTCCCTGGTCCTCCCCTCCCATCTTCCATGTTGTCAGATTTGATGTCTGCCTGTGTCCTTCCAGAAAAATCCAACTCTTCTAGTAGATTCTGCATTTGGGCTCAGTGTTTTCTGGGTGCATCTCACTGTTTTCTCTGAAACACTGGCCACAAATATCTTACATAGGATTTGGTTTCAGCAGGAAACAGCATCACACCTACCCACAACATCTTTGAGAATTTAAAGCCACTACAGGAAGTATATGGAGGAAGCATTGCCTAGCCCAGAGCTTTGGTATAGAATTGAGTTGTCAGAGACAAGTCTTGAGCAAGAGCATATCCTCTTTCTGTTTTGTACTGGATGTCTTCATCCTTGACAGGGGTTCCGGGTTGCAGTCTGGTCTATCCCATGGGTGTGTCCTGCTGTGCAGACTGTATCACCAGTTCTGTTTGCTGTTTATGTGGAGATCTGGCATGAGACTCTGCCATGGGCCTTAGAGCTGCTCTTCTTGGACTTGGTAAGTGAGACAGGTGTCATTATTTTTAGTCACAGTGGTAATGAATACAGAATTCCAGATTTTTAACCTAGGATCTTCTCATAGAAATTTCTCTATGAAGACCTGGCCTGTGCATCAGAAGAGTCTTCCATGGCCTCAGCCTGTTTATCTGGTCTTGGTCTTTTGACCTGAGCTCTGGGTCAGGATCAGTGTATAACAGGACAGACTTCTCTTATCAGATCTTTTGTTTTATTTTCAGGGTTTTTAATGGCACAGAAGATTTGGGCACAATATGGTGAGTCTATTGTCTGTTTTAGTCATGGGAAACTGAGTTTGGCTGGGAATAAAATGGGAGGAGCTTGAAGCCTCTTGAGCAGATTCTGAGATGGGATTTTCATTGGCAGCCACTGGCACACTTACTTAATGATTCGTCCTTACTATTGCAGCCATCTTTGGGGTGGGGATTCTTGACTGTGCTACAGTAATGTTGACATGAGGTCTGACTCAACGGGTATGGAAACAAAGGGCACAGAGGAGATGACAGTCACACACATGTTTCCTCCTGAGGATACAGACATTTGCTTTCAATTAGTTTTCCTTTTCTTCTCATCCTTCTCACCTGGGCTGTGTCTGGCTTTCTTACTGAGTTCTGCCTCTGGGGAGACACATCATTCATGATAAATTCATCATAACTGCTGTCTGTGCGGGTGCAGTACAGGTGGGATTCCTTTGTTTCCAGTGGCTCCCATGTTTTGTGTGGTATTAGAAGTGGGTGTAGATTTTGAGTTTTATATGGAATCAGGAGAGAAAGTAAGACATAGGTCAGTGACTATTTTTTTTTTTTGAGACGGGATTTCTCTGTAGCTTTGGAACCTGTCCTGGATCTTGCTCTGTAGACCAGGCTGCGTATAAATTCAGAGAGATCAGCCTACTTCTGCCTCCCGAGTGCTGGGATTCAAGGCCTGTGCCACCACTGACTGACTATAGTTCAGTGATTTATTGGGATTTCACTCCAGGGAAGTGGGAATGCTGGGTGATAAGAATAGCAACCTGCAGGGTTCATTTCTGGCCTGGTGGGAGATGAGAGAAGTCACTGATATCACTAAGCTATGAGAGTTATTATTTTTTTTAAAGAATATTATATTTAAACTTTTTATTTAATTAACATTTTCCCATTTATTAACATAGCAATCACAGTTTCCCCTCTCTTCTCTCCTCCCATTCCCAACCCAACCTCCCATTCACCTCCTCTTATTTCACTCCTCCTCTGAAAGTTAGTCTCACACTGTTTGGGAACAGTAAAGATGATTAGGCCTCTGGAACTGTGGCACAATATCAATTGTGAAAACTGCGAGACTTCTCTCTGGAGGTGTGCTGGTTAATTTTCTTTCAACATGGTACAAGTTAGAGTCATCTGGGAAGAAGAAACATCAACTGAGGAATTGCCCCCGCCATATTGGCCTGTGGGCATGTCTGTGGGGCATTTTCTTGGTTAGTAATTGTTGTGGGAGCTACTCTATAGCTCCTTGGGAACCTGGTCCTCCTGACATCAGAGGACTAGCTCTCTTTTCCTGTGTCTCTCCAGGGCAACCACCCCAGCCTTCCATCTGGGCAGTTCCAGGATCTGTGATTTCCACAGGCAGTGCTGTGACCATCTTCTGCAGGACTCTTCCAGGAGTGACTATTGTGCGTCTAATCAATGATAAAGTGTATTTTGATTGTACCATACAGGGAGACC